TTTTATTTCAAAATTGTATTTCATTTCTTTTTTTTTTAATCGATACCGGGGATCGAACTCACGACCGCCTGCTTGCAAGGCAGGTGCTTATGTCACTGAGCTAAATCCCCAGCCCCTGTATTTCATTTCTGAATGGCATAAAGAAGTCTCACATCTTTCCACTGCATCCCACATAGAATACGAATTGTCCCTCTGTCCTGTATATCTGTTGTAAGTGCTACTTAGTTGGTTGTAACTTAGGTCCCATGCCAGATAATCAGACTATCATCAAGAGTGCAGTGTCTAAGTCCAGTGACCCTCATGTCACTTAGCAAATGGCCCCAAAGCAAAAGAGCAGTGACACAGCCATTCAGACAGTGCTCAGAAGATACCTTTTTTTAAGAAAAAAATTTATTTTATTTTAAAGAGACTAAAACCAAGCAAAATAAAACAGTATAAAGCCAATCAATATACAGCAGTGTAAGTGACACAGGACTTCAAAAACAATAGGAAATCAACAATGGTTACCATAATGCCTCTGTCTTCAAAATAGCTGCCCATACCTTCAGACACAGTAAAAATCAAACAAAGCAGAAACAGAATAGAACAAATGAAAACAAAATAATGAATGCAATAAAGGACTTCAAAACAAGACAATAGCAAATCCAAAAAGGGTACCATAATATATCTTATCTTTGAAACAGCTGCCCATGCCATCAGATATAAAATTAAATCAAACAAAATAAAACAGAATAGAACCCAACCCAACAAAACAATGAAAATGATACAGGAATTCAAAACAAAATAATAGGGAATTAGCAATGGCTATCACCTTCAGAAGGAGATTCCCCCATAGGTGCTATGTTGCATGTTATCCTCTGAAAAAGATGATCAGGCTTTTAGAGCTGCAAAATTGGGAAACACTAAACACTACAAGTATTAAATTTTATTTCACCTCAATAGCTACCAGAGCAGCCTCTGTTTCCCTGAATCAGCCGGCCACTTACTGGGGCAGGAGGGAGTGGGCCTCTTACTCGGAAACCTTTATGGGAAGCAGACATAGTTGTGGCTTCAGCCTCTGACAGACACCTAACATTTACAAAGCACCTGGCAGGCTTCACTAATGCTGCTGCAGGTGCAGACTTCGGTCAACCAACAAGGCAGAAGCAATTTATTCCTAGTGTATACAGACTGGCTTGTGGCTTCCATTAAGCCACTCAGTCTCTCTGAGCTGCAGTCTCCTCATCTGTGAAGTAACCACATTACATAAACTGTCTGGATACCCTTGCCAGTCTGAGATTCAGTGATCTTGCCTTCCTAGCAAGCAGCTGATCCAAAGCCACCTCTCTGGCATTGAGCAGACAAGCCGATGGCTGATGTGTGAGTAGCCCAGACAAAGCAATAAGAAAATGACTTTTCAGAATATCCTCTGCGTTATGCATGCAATTTAGTTGCTAAAAAAAGGCAGAGTATTTTCATGGCCTGGTGTGAGTCCAAACTTGACATAGTTGCACACAAAACATCTGGCTATTTTAAAGTGCTAAGAAGTTTAGTGACAAGCGCTCTTCCGTTTCCACTTTTTTAGAATTATTGGACTTTGGAGAGGAGGTGGGAACTGAAGGAATCCTTTCAAGGGCTTCTTCTGACATTGGCACACAGATAATTCCCAAGCACAAAGAAGGGATTTTTTTAAAATCATGTAATTTTCCAGGAACAGGAAATTCACCGCAAAACATTTCCCGTTGTTCTGAGGTAGCCACAACACTCCAACACTCCAGGGCCCATGCTGAGAAAGTCATATATAGATCCTTGTGTTTTAGCCAGAATTCCTTGACATATTGTTCATTGAAAACATACTCACATCTCTAAATTTCCTACACACATGTAGGAAATTTAAATGCAAATATCTTCCTATATATGTACACTAGAAGCAAGTTTATATAACAAGGTTTGCCAAAAATATGTAGTGCAAAATGGATCTTGTAGTTACCTTACTAATGGGATACAATAGACAACCAGGGTCATATGGCACTGCAGTATGCCAGGCCAAGTTGCACGTGCATGCTAATAATTTGTGAATAATATGCAAGTTTTATTTCTGCAACGTTTGAGGAGGTTACTACTGCGATGTCCGTCAGATGGACCACAGAGCTCAAGGGGCAGAAGCGACACTGGGTAGAACAAAGGATCAATGTGCCGAGAGTGAGGCATGAGTAACAGCAAACAGAACAGAAAGGTGTTTATCGGAACAAGGGAGAACTTTGCCTTTTGTGTTCACACTTTCTTCATTGCGGAGACCCAGTACCCCACACCCACGACTTAAAGGAGGACAGCTTTATTCGGGCTCATGTTTGTGTCCCGAGTGCCTGGCTCCAAGGTAGAAATGGTAAGGTGAGAGGCCAGAGGAAAGCTGCTCATGTCACGACGGCCAGAAAGAGAAAGTGAAGGGAGGAACCAGCACAGGAGACAGGTGTTCCGGGTCACCCCATGGTGACCCACCTTTTCCAGCCAGACCCTATCCCCCACCTGCAAAGTCAGCTGTAGTGCTTCACAGCCAGTCACTTCTAACAGCCCCACCTGTGAACAGTTGAGGTCTTCCGGGAACATTCTCCATCCTATCACCTTTATAGAGGAGAAAGTCAGATTAATACAACATTTTATTCAACAGCAGCAAAGTAATAAAACACAGTGTGAGCTGTTACACCAGAGAAGTGATTGTTTTATAATTATTGTTGACTTGTTAATTTTCAATTTCTTCCAGGTTGCTGACAAAAATCCTCACACTTTCAAATATGCTATAAACACAGAAAAAGGTGAGAACCATCATTATGAGAAAGCATTTGGGTTTGATTCTGACTTTCCTCCAGTGCCCAAATATCAGCACTCCTTATCCTCCTGTATATCTCGTGGGGATGCTCTGCCAGCCCAGGGTGTGCTGATCTTGTAGGGGTCATGGGTGAAGGTTCTGCTGGAAGGGACTGAATGTTCACTGGAGGAGTGGACACTGATGATACCTATCATTCTGGGAAAAGAAGTCCCAGGTTGGAAAAAGAGACAAATGGGGGAGGAAATATTCATCACTCTGGGACTTAACCTGAGGTCTCCACCAAGTGGTAGAGGGGGAAGACTTTCTCTGGTGGACATAGAAACCATGAGTTGAATCTTGCAAACCAGGTCCTTTGTTTTGATGTGACCCTTGATGTGTATTTCCCTTTTATGTTCCCAAAGTTTTGGTGCCAAAAAATTTTATAAGTTCCACTCTGATCACAGCCACACTGTGTGGTTTGTGCAGAGATAGTTGAGCTTATCATTGGACCTAAGTATTATTAGAGAAGTTTCCCACAAGCATCATGGAAATAAAAGCATTCTAGTAAGTATGAAATCCCCAACAAAAGGACCCTGAGAGTAAGTGTCCACCGTGATGCTCAGCTGGCCCCTCAAGGTGCAGATTCAGCCTTCATTGCTAAGTCCGATAGGTAAGCTTTTGTTTTATCATGAAGGTCTTGCCACACCCCACAGTGTGCACGCACATACACAGGAGGGTACGGGGTGGCTTGGCACATTTGCCACTGTAAAAAGTTCAGGCTAAATCTGAAATCTTATCACCATGATGATTAAAAATCCTCCATGTTATAATTCCAATTGCTGAAGAAACTTGTTCACATTATACTTTGACAGTTATTTGTGGATCTTGAATTTAGTACATGCATCTAGAAGTGAAAATTATGTTTAATCTGCACTTAAATTAAAAAGAATATTTAATAGGGGTAAATCCTGATGTCTAATTCAAAAGTATTGAAATTTGCAGCTTAAATATTTTGGTCTGCAATGTTGCTCATGGGGAAAAACCCTGTAAATCCTAAAACTGAGTAGAGTTCAATCCTAGTAGGATTTTTTTTTTATTATGAAGACAAACTGAGAAGTGAAAGTGAAACACAGAAATGAGATGAGAGATTTAAAATTCACTTAAAAAAAGAAAACCAACCTGAGTGACCCAAACTCACACCACATCCACTTGTCTATAAAGAGAATCCGCTAACGCACTTAGACAAATAGGCTCAAGCAGAACTGAAGCTTCTAGAAAACCACAGACTCTCATGTATGTCCATAAACTTTTCTACCCCCAACAAGTCTAAAACAATCTTCCTGCCAGCAGCAATCAGCTGTATCACAGTATTTTAATCTTCATCATCCTCGATATTTATCTTATGTGACTAAATATAATCTCTAACTAGAGGATAGGTTGATAATAAAAATATGTATGATACAGGTCTGTATATTAGTAATTACCTCATAACTAGTATTTATTCTAACAGAAGAAATGAAGTGTTTCCTCCCTCTCCTCTACATCAAAACTATCCCTGTTATGTTTTAAAAATTATAATTTGAGGGCCTAAAATATTTTAAAATCATAAAGAAATCAAAATGTACAAATTCTAATTATCAATACTCAAAATCAAAAACCATTGTAAATATTATTAATAATATAACGGCACCCTAAGTCAGGTATTGATATTGTTTTTTGGTTTGTTTGAGACAGGTTCTCACTATGTAGTGCAGGCTGGCCTGCAATCCTCCTGCCTCAGCCTTCTAAGTGTTGAGATTACAAGCATTCACCACCACACCTGGCTTGACATTGTTGCTGTGTATTGAGATTAGTTTTCCTACTACTAATAAGATGATTTACCTGGATGTTGTAGTATACACCTGTAATCTCAGCAATTCTGAGAGGTTGAGGCAATAGAATCAAACCCTGCCTGGGCAATTTGGCAAGCTAGAGAGATCCCTTCTCAACCAAAAAGTTAAGCTCTTGATACATGGCTTAGACTTGGGACCTGGGTTAAACCCTCAGTACTGAAAAAAAAATTAATAATAAATTCATTTAAGGTCCCCAATGAGCCATGGCACATATTTTAAAGATGATGGCCATGGCAGGACCACGAGACAGATGACCTCAGCTGGGAGGAACAGGAAATGAACTAGTGGTTGTAGCTGCACCAGCATGAAGTTCCACCAGCCAAGCGAGCTACAGAGCTCATGTGTGCTGATTGATGTCAGCAGGGGTGGAGCAAGCCAGCCCCATCCCGCGCCTGTCAACTTCCTCTTTCAGACTGCGTGAGGACAGTGGCATCATTCTTATTCCAGCTCGTGTTCAGGTATTATTTATGGTATTTTTTTCTTTCTCTTCTGGAAGCATAAATGGCATATCCATCAATAGGGTGGATGAATGGCCTAGTAAACAGACATTTAAGGACTAAAAATCATTTGTTGTTACAGCTGGAAGGAATTGAGTCCAACAGCCCTACTCTTCAAAAGAGAAAACTGCAGTGTGGAGAGGTTAAGTCCCTGGCCCAAGGTCATGGAGTTATTAAGTGTTGGAGCTGGGACTAGAATTACATCTTCCACTCCTGGGCTGGTCTCCACGGTGAAGGCTGCTGGACTTCACACTGGTGTATGGAGGAAAAGTGATGTAAGGATAGGAAGAAAAAAAGCTTTGATCTCCCAAATGGCTCAGAACTTCTTTTTGAAATGTGACTTTTGTTGGCATGACTGGGAACACTGGCTAGCAAGTCTCTGTTGTCTGACCTGCTCCACATAAACCAAGGGACAAGAGGATTCTGGCTGCCTGTGGGTCGCTGTCAGGGCAGGCAGCAGGATCGTCTGTGTGAGGCTCAGCTACTACCAACTGCACACATGCCCAGGGCCAGGATTCAGAATTTCTGACCACTGGTGAGTCTCAAGGGCCAACAGTAGGGCCTAGTCTGCTCCTGGAAGTCCCTACAGCCCTGGGCATTAAGTCTGTAGCTGATAGATTGAGAGAGATCTGGATGGGACTTCTAGAAGAAAAGACCAGCATGCACCTAATGTGACACAGGTCTCAGGCAGTGATGTGTCAAGTGGTAGAGATTTCAGTATTTAACAAATATGACTTTATCAGCTCATACAGCATTCCAGAAATCATCCCTGCATGAGGCAGTTTTAAATGAAAAAATCTTAATGAGACAGATGTATACTGCAGCAAAGAAATGTCACCTGAAGTTAGATGTGCTCAGAAGACTTATGGTCCAGGATGAACTGCAGTGTGCAGGTTCCAAATCTGCCCCAATCTTTTGCTTGCAGATATTTTATACCCTCCTTTCCTCTCTCTCACCACCCCATCCACCCTATCAACACACACACACACACACACACACACACACACACACACGGCAAACATCACCAGCAGTTTTGCAAAGGAAGGTAAAGGAAGACCCAGGACTCTGGGTTTATGTGAGTCCCTTCACCCTTTTCCCCTCAAGACAAGCTAAGTGAGCCTAGTGATCATTTTTCATCTAGTCAAGACCAAGCAATGAAGTCCAAGGGCATTATCTGATGAAATGTGCTTCGGTTAGATTTGCTAGACTAATCCTTTGGATCTGCCTAGAACTTGCCCAGTTACTGAATTTTCTTTCATTCAGCTTTTGTACTTAGCACTCAAGAGGAAAATATTAATATAGTGGGGGCAAACAAGGTCACTCTGTTCTGAGTGCTATAGACAGATAGTGGAATCTAACCCCAGAGAGGTACTTGTTTTTCAGCCTTGTAGGATCAGTATTAGGCAAGAATATCCAAAAACATCTTTTACAGTGAGGCCAGCAAGATCACAGAAGGCACTACCCAGTTTGCTGAGCGCAAGCTGTGTCCTAATCAAGTTTTCTTATACTCAGAACTATAGAAACATTTTCAAAGGTATTATTCTCGGCAGGTTTCCAGTAATTCTACATTTCTAGACTTATCCAAATGGCTTCTGAAATATTTGCTGTTTGTTGAAAGCAGCTTTCAGGATGAGGTAATTAAAAGAAACCTATCAATTTGAGATTTTTTTTTCCATGAGTAAATAATGTTGACATACTGTTCAAATAAACCCACAATTTACTGCAATCTGTTTTTAGACAAACCCTCCACTTTAACCTCCAAATGGGAAAAACGAAGAGACTTTCCTCTTCTCATTTAATCAAGAACATATGTTCAAAGATAATACCGGAGGCTTATTCTGGGAAGCATTCTGCTCTCCCTCTGACAGCCACGCAGTGAGCTCACAAGGCTGCCTCCACACATAATGAAAGCAAACGCCACCATAAATCTCCCGCGCAGCGGAGGTCACTTCAGAAAAATCACCCACTGCTCAAATAAGCACCGGCTATGCTGAGGCGCACAGAGGGGGAAAAGCCAGCTGTGATAAACACCAGCAGGTATACAAGGAGCTGAAGCCGGCCCAGGCACCTAGGAGAGACAGGAGCCGGGGAGGAAGCAGCTGTGTACCTGCGTGTGTTTACACACTGCATCGTCAGCCCAGGGTGTTCCGAGCAACCACACCAGGGACTGGTTCCTTCCTTTTAGAAGGAGACTTTGGGAGGCACAATTTTTACAAAACCTATGAGTGTGCATTGTGGCAGGAGGCCAACCCTGTTCTCAAAATTAGGTTCTAAAAACATCTGGGGGCTTTGAGATCTGAGAAAGAGAGAGAGAGAGAGAGAGAGAGACAGACAGACAGACAGACAGAGATAGAGAAAGAGAGGGGGGAGAGGGAGAAGAAGAGGGAGAGGGAGAGGGAGAGAGGGAGAGAGAGAGAGAGAGAGAGAGAGAGAGAGAGAGAGAGAGAGAGAGAGACTCAGAATTCAGTACATAATTTTTCATTTCATTTCCAGACTATGAGTCATAAATAAAACGGGCACGGAAATCCTGATCACCAGACTCTGCTGACCTGAGTCTGGGTTTACTAACACCTGAAGTACATTTCATGGGAATTAGCTTTAAATATCAACCTGATCATGAAGCTTGAAAAGCTTTTCTCCCATCTCAGGAAACCAGGAATCCTCCGGAACCTGGAATGGAGTTTTCTAACAGCAAAGGCTTACTGAAGCATAAAAGAAATTATGGAGATTCCCCTGACAGGCATAAGGATGTGTTCATGGTAGGTTGGCGCAGGTTACCACTACTATCCTCTTAAGCACCAAATTATGGACTATTAGGCCACTGCTTCAAGGCTGCCACAATGTGAAACCTTGACAAATTCCCAAATAAAAGCCGTAAAACCAATCATTCTTTAAACCTGCGTGAGTGACATCAGGAAAATTACAGCAGTGTGGCAGGTCACTGTGAAATAAAGCTGCCATAAAGAAGCTTATGTTGCTGTCATGGAGAAGGCAATTAGAAGGTTACTTGCTCTCGGGTCTAAGATTGGTTCTTGTTCTTCCTACAGTTCCCTGCCTTTCACCTCCCTGCTGCAAAATGGATCAATCTATAATAAGTAGTAGTTATATATCATAAGGCAGCAATTCCTTTTAGTTGTCCCACTATAAAAAAGCATCCAGATTTAGAACTTGACGGGAACCAGGATCGCCTGCCCCCCAGAGCCCGCAGAAAGTCTGTGTGTGTCATTCAGCCTGCATGGAGCCTGGGTGTTTTAAAAGCTTTCATTTGAAGGGGATAAAAAACCTGGGCGTTAAGCAATTTGGCTGTGGATGTTTAATGCATCAGCCACGCTACAGAATTGGAGGCCCCTATTAGGAACTGAAAACTTACACTCTCTGTAGGCAAGGCGTAAGTAAATATAGGATCGTAAGCAGAAATCAGCTAAAACCTGCAGAAATGCCATTAGAAGGACTAATGACATTTTCAGAAGTAGCCTTAAATAAATGCTACTGTATCATTTACAGGTGTGTAAAACAAGCCCAGTTCTTAATTGGCAGAGGCCAAGCCTCCCTGTGTTCAGGTAAAGGCACTATTTCTTGAAGAGAATATCCTAGTAGAGACTAGGCAAAAACAATGGCTCCGAATGGTTGAGATTTACACCAGGGCACGTAACTTCTTTGGGGAATGGAATCCAGCCTCCTGGTCTCTAATTTCTATTCTAAATTCTTGTGAATAAGCAAGGTACCCTAGAATTGTCTAATCCTAATCCTCACAACCTGTAAATAGCTTTGTATAGCAAAAGGGACTTTGTGGGTAGGAACAAGCGCAGGAATTTGATGCAGGGAGATTATCCCAGATTATCTAGGTGGCCCAGGTCTTTGGAAGTAAAAGAGGGAGCAGGAGAGTGAGTGTGAGAAAGAAAATGGAGGGATGGAAGATGCCATGCTGCTGACTGTGAGGACAGAAGAAGGGTCCACAAGCCAAGAAGCATAGGAGGCCTCAATGCTAGACAAGGTTCCTTCCCTAGAACCCCCGAAAAGAATGCAAATCTTGTTGGCACCTTGATTTTAGCCTAGGAGTCATTTGACTGCCAGAAATGTAAGAAAATATATCTCTGTTGTTTTAAGCCACAGAGATTGTGATACTTTATTAGAGCAGCAATAGAAAACCAATACATTTTCACAGAGCATCACATTTCCTTCTCATTTTTATCTATCCAAAGTAGCACTTTCAGCTCAGGGCTGCTCAGAGCCTGGATACAATCAGAAGAGATGGGACTCAAATGCTTGTGCTGTGATCTCCAATGCAGAGTGCATACGTGATGTCCTCATCTTGAAGTTGGCCCAGGAGTGGTCCAAGGTGGAATGATACAGGAGTGTTTAACCCTTTGGGAAGAGTATCGTATTTCTGACATTAAAAATCGTCATGGGAATTTTTAGTTGGCTTTGTTTTGAACCCCTCTGCAGATAGTGCACCCTTTTATGGCCAGCTCCTATTCCCTCTGTCTCTGTCCTGTGGCTGGTCTTCGGCAATTTCTGCTGTTTAACACACTTTTTCTCTTGTGGTTCCTCACTGGTTCCCTCCTCTGTATTTCTTTCCCATGTGAACAATTCCTGAAGGGAAAGCTTTTTGCTAATTGTCAGATGTTCCAGGTTAAGAAATTAGTTACAGGGTTGCAGATACAGCTCAGCAGTACAGCCCTTGTCTGGCAAGCACGAGGTTGTGAGTTTGATTCCCAGTACCAAAAAACAAGAAAGAAAGAATGAACGAAAGAAAGAAAGAAAGAACAAAAACACATAAAAGCAAGAAAGAAAGAAAATTAGTTGCAGTACTAGGGTTCACCAACTATTTCTAATATATTAGAATGCTTCACTTTATTTGACTGTTTCATTAACCATTCTCTTTCTCTCTCTCACTAACCCTATAAATTAATCAAGAAATTTAAAACTCAACATGTAAAATTGCAGGTTCCTGGGGTAGATGGGCCTTCCTGGAGTGTCGTTCAGTCTCTGTAGAGTTGGCTTTAGAGTGAGACAGATTTCCGTTTGACTCCCTGGCTCACCTTTCATCAATAGTGTGACCATGGGAAAATTATCAAGCAGAGGAAGGAACAATGACCTGTCTCCACTGTGAGAAATTAATGACCTAAACAAGCACTCCGTAAATAGTGGAGTGGGAGAGTATCGTTCCAAGGCACTAAAAGCCCACTTAAATCCTATGTGGGCAGAAGTTTCATATTCTGAGTGGTAAAGACATATCACCAAAGTGTAACAGCACAACCATTTATACATTGCCAGCCTTGTACCTTCCCGAATAGTAGGCATCATCAGGA